TTTTTTTTTTTAAATCTCTTTCCAGGTGCCAGAAGCAGTTTTCGCAGTATACTTGCCCTCGATGCAATTCGCGGTATTGCTCACTTCAATGCTACAAGGTAAGCTCAACTCAAACTATTGCTTATCCAATTTTTTTGAGATTTTTTTTTTATTTTTTATTTTTTCGTTATCTGCCTTAAAATTTGTTATTTTGATGTTTAATTAGGTTAATATAACTGTTTAAAAAAAATTGGGTAATTTTGTTACAGTCTCATAGCGTTCGTTGTACAGAGTCTTTTATGCGAGAAAATGTAGTTAATGAGCTGCAGCATCTGCGGCCTGATGATGAAACCAAAAGGAAGATGCTGGACATACTGAGACGATTTCATTCCGACGAGGAACGTGATAGCATGGATGAGGATGTGGATGGTGATGGTATGGCCGTTTGGGTTTACAAATTTATTTTCTCTTGTAAATGTTAGTTTCTCTGCAATATTTCTTGATTCATTTGTTGTGACATACGTTAGAAGTGGCATTAAAGTCGTATATATGCAGTGAATGAATCTTGTGGAATTGAGTTTATTCTTACTATTGATTCTTTAATTCTTTCCCAGTGGTTATCTGTATTGTATGCTTCTTTGTGCAATGCATGCTGCTGCAAACAAGTAGTAGTATTTTTACAAATCATGTTTTGTTCGGTTTTTCGTAAATGTGGTCTGGTTTGTTTCTGGATTTGCATATCTAGTCTAGCAGTAATTTTACATGCACTACTATTATTGGAAAGGTGCCTTTACTATATTCTTCTTTTATTTGTTGGCAGATTCAACTCTTTCAGAGGAGACTATTCAAAAAGTACTGTCAGGTAAATTCCAATATTTAGTAGCTTTTTTTGTTCTATTTAATTTTCCAGTTGAATGAATAATTCCTTCGTTATCATCTAATCATTACATGTTAATAAGCTGAGGTTTTAAAGTGTAAATTAATTGTATGTGTCTTGGATTTAATTTCCCATACTTTTTGCCTCTGGGCTCAGGCTGATACAAGTTCTCCTCTTTCCTCTTTTTAGGTTCTGAAATCAGTTTTGATGATTTGTCTGCTGAAGAGAAGAAACGGTTCCAAAGAGCCATAGCATCTGGGGAACTGAGCAAGATGATTGAACCGTGGGATCCTTGGTGGTTGAAGCCTGCTGCTAGAACAATCTGTCTTAGCAAGGAAGGCGCATTACTTGTTCAACCTGTTGCCAAGGAAGAATCGTTAGTTCCAGATGAAGATGATCTAGAAAGTAATCCATCAAGTGACATTCCTTGTGGCCCCGAAACCCCACTTCCTCCACTTCACAAGCTTATTTCAACAGAGCCATCCCCACTTTTAGCTTTTCATCTTGTTGATATTATATATAGCTACTGTTTTACACTTCGCCTATATAATGGAGACTGGCAATCAGATGCATTAGAGGCAGCTACAGTGGTTCTGAGCATATCCTCTATCTTGGGTCAAGGCCGGCAGCCAGAAACAGTACTGGAAGGTTTGTCTTATTGCTTGGAGGAAACCTGCTCTCCGGCTTTCAAGCATATGGGTGGCTTACAATTTGGATTGGCACTTATTGATGATGTAGTGAGCCTTCTTTCCCTCGGAGGTTCTGCTTTAATTTGTATGCTTAGTGATCTACAGAGGCTGATCCAGGCAGGCGAAAGAGAGTTGAAATCTGAGAAACCGAGAAAGTTGAGAAAGGCAGAAATCAAAAGCAAACTCAAACTTGCTGATAGGAAGGTATTTTTTATCATGTGTTGGGTACATGAGCAGCCAGAGGAAGCATGGTCATCTCTAGCAGCCATTGTGAAGGCCGAGAAAATTTCAGCTATGGATTACAGAAGCAGTAAAAGTGTCACGAAAATGGAGAATAAGATAGAAAATAGGGGAAAAGTTTTGATCGAGGAGATAAAATGAATTTTTCACTGTCATTTTTACATTTTGACTTATCCTGAATTTTTTTGGTGCTGTTGTGTATATATGTTGATGTAGGGCCTTTTCTTCTTCTTCTTTTTTTTTTTTCTGTATTAGACCTGAGAGATCCAAAGCAGAAAATTTTTGGGGCAAATGTGCAAAGATCAGGAAGAAATTGTTTCTATTTATTTTTTCAAAGTGAAGTTACTATAGTTATAATGAATGATCCTAAATTTACAATCATGATTTATTATTAGATAAATATAATATGTTATTCGCAGCTGAGTTTTTGGATCAACTGGCAGCCTTCCCCTTCCTTTATAAGTGGATTTCGAGTTCATCTTTTGATAACTTGTTAAAAAAAAAAAAATTTTAATATAATGTGTTATTCGATAAATGAATATACATATAA